GCATCACAGGGGTGGCCTCAGCGCACTCTTGCACAACACTGGCGGACGCCACCGGCACCAAGGTAATAAACACCAAGGTGGGTCCGTGTTAATTGTGCGTGGCAGCAATAACCCCCCGCCGTCCCCGCGCGCCCAGTCAGAATTAGTGGCGACCTTCTCGTCCGCGTATGTCAGCTCAAACTGTGCTTTTCAATAACGTCCTGTCGTGGCATCACAGAGGGCGCGCAGATAGGCGAGGCGACAAAGACACCAACAGCAACAACGGCGGCGGCGGCAGAGGAGGAGGAGGAGGAGGAGGAGGAGGGGGAGCCACCGGACGTCTGTCAGAGTGGTGCATGATGATGTCTCATTCAGTGGCTCATGAGATACTTTACCTGAATATCGGTTTGTGCATCAGCAACGTCGCGCAATGTACACAAGGAGGGAGCCAGGAGGCGGGGAGGGGGGTCCTCCTCCGCTGCTCTCCTCCCTGTCGCCCGGGGAGGTGCATCTCGTGCCTCTTGAACCTGCAGTGCTGACGGGAACGCAACCACCACATTACCTGAGGGCACTGCTCCGGCCGACTGTCAAGGCGGTGGGGGCACGCGGGAGAAGGGAGGAGGGAGGAGGAAGGAGGGAGGCGCCGTCCGAGCCGAAGTGGCAACACCCTCTCAGACAGTGCGCGAGCAGCGCCCACCCCACCGGGGCAGGACGCGCCCGTGCGAGCTTCGTACCGTCACGGTCGGCGTCAGATTTTACCCTACGAAGTACGGTGTCGCATCACAGGGGTGGCCTCAGCGCACTCTTGCACAACACTGGCGGACGCCACCGGCACCAAGGTAATAAACACCAAGGTGGGTCCGTGTTAATTGTGCGTGGCAGCAATAACCCCCCGCCGTCCCCGCGCGCCCAGTCAGAATTAGTGGCGACCTTCTCGTCCGCGTATGTCAGCTCAAACTGTGCTTTTCAATAACGTCCTGTCGTGGCATCACAGAGGGCGCGCAGATAGGCGAGGCGACAAAGACACCAACAGCAACAACGGCGGCGGCGGCAGAGGAGGAGGAGGAGGAGGAGGAGGGAGGGGGAGCCACCGGACGTCTGTCAGAGTGGTGCATGATGATGTCTCATTCAGTGGCTCATGAGATACTTTACCTGAATATCGGTTTGTGCAT